GATTGTCTTGACCAGGACCACACCCCTAAATGCATTGAAGCAACTGCCATGTGATTGGTTGATTAGATAATTGCATTAATTAGAAATTGAACAGGTGTTCCTAATAATCCTTTATTTGAGTGTATATATATATATATATATATATATATATATATATATATATATATATATATAATATATATAAAAATAATCATAAATGTGCAAACTTTTATTGAATACCTCTTTCCTGAACAATGAGAACAGTTTCTTCATGAGAGGTGCAGAGCATATGCCCTGAGAAGGGCATCCACACTGAACCATGTGACCACAGAAGATCCGTAATTATGTGATTTGTGTATGTATCTCTAGGCGTATTGTTTTAATTAAGAGAAGCAGCTAGCCACAACAGTGTGAATTATTCTACTTTATTAAAGTTTTTACAAATTGCACTCTCAAGTTTTCCACAGAGGAAGCCCGAAAAATTCCCATAATTCCACACAGGAAGTAAGAGGTGGCACAGTAAACATCATGTTCTACATTCCGTGACATTCACATATTTATCGCGTAAACTTCCAGAGTGTAATAAAGTTTTAATGAAATAAGCTGAATTTAAATAAATCATAAAACACATAAATGATCCTATGCTAATCGAATCGTTAGCCCTAATATTTACTTATTCATTTCCCTAATGAAATATGTCTTGGTAGACCTTCTGTTCCCCAAAGATAACAGTGACCTTCTTCAGCTTTCCTTTATAAATGTCAGTACTGTATATTTTGTCGTGCCATTTCTGGTTTCTCTGCCCCATGGTGTGTTATTTTTGCCAAGTCAGTGGAAGAGCCTGTTTACTTTTTCTAGTGGGTGCTAAGCACACTGGCATAGCCTTACCGAGAGAGTAACATGCGAGAGTCTTACTTCTGCAGCATAAGACGGACAATCTGCTGAATTCATTGCCTCAACATTCAACAAATATCACAGTGGCCATATTCACCCACAGTGTTATTTCTATTTATTTTGCCTGTGACTAAAATAAAATGTAAATTTCTTCAGGAAAAGCTTGCTTGGTAGATTCCCAGTTTTACGTAAAATATGATCTTATTGGTGATTAATTTATCTTCACAGCTTTTCAAACAGTAGGACCGGTATTCTTTCACTGGTGAATGAGGTCTTTATTTTTAGTCATGTGGATGTTTTAAACTCCTTATTCATATTTTACCTCACACTGTGTCTTGCGCTCTCATTGGCTATAGCCACGACAGTTTTCACCCCTGCAGGATTTGGAGTCACTGACAAAGTCTATATTTTTAGCATGCCAAATATCTGGTGGGCATCTGCAACACATTGGCATCCACAAGGGGGCAGGTCGCGTCTTTGAACAGCTCACAAATTGCGATGGAGCGCCGATCGAACACTTGCCTTAGATTTGGGGGTTTTGTTAGGAATCTCAAAAAACTGACAGTGAGCGGAAAATCTGGGCTAAAATTGTATCGTTTGAACTTAGCTTTAGTGCACCTATGCTTGATCAGTTAATTAGAATGTGTACCAGCAAAACAGGGAATGACCTCTGTTTTAGTTTTCACGAAGATAAAATATTACATTTCACTAGTTTCCTTCCTATAAATTCTACCATGGCTCCAATCACTATGAAAGGCTATGCTTTGTCACTGAGGGATCTTCAGATGAGGACTGAATCATGAACAAGTGGCAGCTGGTTAGCAGGGTGGTCAGCAACACTGACGAAATCCCTTCTCTACTTTTCTGGATTTGTACAACATTATAACCTCAGTCCATTTTAATGCCAAGTGTCAAGGTCCAGTTCCTCCATTCCATCTGAACACTTCACTAGAGTAGTTTTGTTTTACTGCCTTCCAGAAAAGCACAATAGAATCTGCTAGCCTGATACTTGAACCAACAACTTCTTGGTGAAAAGGCCACGTTTAAACAGTGTTAACATACGTGTGCATGTGTATTATGTTAACCACATCTACACCCTGCATACTGCTTAATATTAGCCCATGTGACTTTATGGACTCTATTAAAAATTAAATTAATGATATTAGACTTCAGGTTCCACTATTAGCTCAGAAAGGAGCATGGATCACTCTGCCTCTGCCTCTAGAACGTTCCTCCTGTCACGACTCGGGACCTGGGACCATCCACACGAGGGCTGTAACGAGAGGCACCTGGGATCATCCACATGAGGGCTGTAACGAGAGGCACCTGGGACCATCCACACGAGGGCTGTAACGAGAGGCACCTGGGACCATCCACACGAGGGCTGTAACGAGAGGCACCTGGGACCATCCACACGAGGGCTGTAACGAGAGGCACCTGGGATCATCCACATGAGGGCTTAAACGGGGAACAGGTGTGGCTAGTTAGCACCACACCACAGGCGACACAGGGGAAGAGGCATGCGGGGCGTGACACCTCCAGTCCACATTCTAAAGAAATTTTAAATGTTCTAAATGTTAATTCTCATGTACCTAAAGACCTATAGATCTGATTAACACATCCCACTCTTAAAAAAACCTTTAAAATAACAGCCTCAGAGTTCCTGGCATATTAATGTTATAGACACACAGAGAGAAAGTTTCTGCGTCTGCCTTGAGCAAAATACAAACCACCCCTACAGATAGTAGATGTATCAGAGCCAGCCAACTTCTGTACTATTGTTCACAATTATAAACCCTGATCCCCATCTTGGACTGATTTATACACAACCCTGCCTAACCTTGCACCGATTTTTCTTATAATAAATCATTTTCAGTACATAATGAATTTGCATACTTTACATTCTGATATCAGAAGCAGTCCCATAACAGAAATGTAAAGGGTGTACTCTATTTCCCAACATAAGAATATGGCCTGAAGATTTCTGATTTGCTTCGCTGGACTGGGACAAGACACCTGCATGTACCAAGAAATAAATTAAGGGTAACGGCAGAAAAAACATCCAGCACTAAGCAACAAAACATGAATCTGACACACTAGATCTGATGCCAGGTAGCAAAAAGTCCAATAACGCCCCAAGTTTTGCAG